ACTGAGTTTTGTTGACAGACTCTTGTTTCTGAAATAATGTTTTAACCCATATTATGATAGATAATAATGTTATTTTTATTATATTACACATTAAAAAAATTAATACCCATTGTTCCCAAAGTGTACCTTTTTGGGCGTTTACAATTCTCTCAAAGTACAAAGAATTGTCTAAAATTGCATATAATTTAAAGTAATACTATATTTAAAGGTGAAATTTCAATAGACAGAAAAATTAAAAAAAAATTCACAAATCTGATGTTATTTTATATCGTTATTTAATCATCATTTGACCAATTAAGGACATTGCGTTTCTGGTTATAGTTATCAAAACAATACTTGTATTCGTCAATAAGAGCGACAGCTCCCTCGCTTTTCTCTTCACTGTGATCAGAATTGTGAAGGAGGTAAGTTAGGAATATTTCTAGTATGTATATTTTCTCAATTTTGAAAAGAAAACCAACAAATAAGAAAAAAAAGTTTCGATTTTGCATTGTATAAATCTTGGTAGTTTTAAACTTACTTGATGTCTTATTTTTATTAATAATAATACCGTAAGTACGTGTATACATGTATTGTATTTTAATGATACTTTCTTGAATTCGGTTCTCATTTTAAAAATGTCTTTTAAAAATTTAAATTTTCTTTTGAGCCTTTAGGCAAAAAGTAACATGCTAGGGCACTATATTGTATTATATATTTTTTAAAACTATGTATTGATAGTCGAAGATGATTTTGTGTACTTCCAGGAAATACTTGCACATAGTATCGAAAGCGGGGGGCTTTGCTTTAAATTGTTTAGTGAAAAATTGTTTGCTCTCTCTCTCTCATCCCTTCTACTTTTTGTTACAGTGTAGTCAAATCGTAACTATCATTTAATGTGATGAGGATTAAAAAAAAAATTGTATGAAAAAAGTTCGAACCTACCCTAACCCATCCACCCTCGCACGAAAAAGGCTTTGCGAATTGGACAATTTCTTTTTTGAGTGTCAAAGTGTTTTTTTTAAGTTGGATTTTTTTTCTGTAACCTCCGCTTTAAAAATGCCTGAATATATACTTATTTATTAAAGAAAATAAGAAAAGCATTTAAGAAAATCGTACAAACGAACTACTGTGAGGACGATTTTTCAATTTATACATACGATTTTCAAAATTGAACAACAATATTCGTAATTATACATACAATTTTGAAATCACTTTAACGTTAAAAAAATCTTTAAAAAATTCTCAATCGTGCAGGCGACTTTTTTTCATGTAGTTCTTTAGCTTATTACACTGAATAGTATAGGCTTAACCTCAGTTTACCAAAAAAAATTGAATTGTACGAACAATTTTATTTTCTGCATATTTGAAATGACATATTCGTTGTCATACCTTCCTCATACGGAAAGGAGCGAAGGTTTAAGGTTAGTTTCATGATAAAGCATATGTGGAGCAAGGCAGGTAACATGAAATATATGTAGATATCGAACAGTGTTCAAGCTCAAAAGTCCACTCAAATAATATAATTCAGGAGCAGAGCAAAACAGACATCTAAAACATCAGAGGTGGGATCAGATGCCATGGAGGAGTGAGCGTCTACTGCGACCGTTCACACCCACCGTATCGTCTTTGTCATGATCAGTTTATATCAGAAAGAATCCCTAAACAATGAAGTGTTAATAATGAATTTACAATTAGTATGAAAAAAGTTAGTCAGCGTTTGACTTTATGATAGATTATATTTGCTGAAAAGGTTACTATATCGACCACCGAACTTGCAAAATCGTGGCTTTAAATGATACTGCTGATATTTTTGTTTCCTCAACTTATTTACCAAAATGTTCATACGCAGAGCATGCTCTTAAATATCGAATCAACTGAGATATATAAATCCCGCAGGTGATTAGGAATTATTGCTACATACGTAAAGGATCTTGACAATTGAAAAGTAGAAGTAATCACGTATATCGTAAAGCTTGGTTGTTAATTGGAAGTTTGTCTGGAAAAATCGAAAAATCTGAAAAAAGTTATTTTTTTTGTTCAGAGTTTATTTAAACGAGTTTATTTTGCATTTAACTTTGAAGGCCGAAGGCTCAAGTGAGCTTTTCTTATCAAAATTTGTCCGTTGTCTGTCGTTGTAAGCGTTGTTATTGTCGTCGTTGTTGTAAATTTTTCACATTTTCATCTTCTTCTTAAGAACCACTGGGCCAATTTCAATCAAACTTACCACAAAATATCCTTGGGTGAAGGGGATTCAAATTTTTCAAATGAAGAGCCATCCCCTCTTCCAAGGGAGATAATTCTGAATTAGCGAAAAATTAATGGCATCTTTTGAAAATGAAGAACGACTGGGCCAGGAAAGATGAAAATCACGTGGAAGCATTCACTGGTAGTGAAGAAATCAAATTTGTTCAAATCATGACCCCCGGGGTAGGGTGGGTCCACAATGGGGCATCAATTTTTAACACAGAATACATAAGAAAAATCTTTAAAAAATTTCTCAAGAACCACTGGGCCAGGAAAGATGAAATTCATGTGTAAGCATCCTGATGTGGTGTAGATTCAAGTTTGTTCAAATCATGACCCCCGGGATAGGGTGAGTCCACAATGGGGCATCAAATTTTAGCATAGGAGTACATAGGAAAAATCTTTAAAAATCTTCTTCTCAAGAACCACTGGGCCAGGAAAGATGAAACTCATGTGAAGCACATCTGGTAGGAAAATTCAAATTTGTTTTTATTGTAAAGTTTAAATCCAACAATAGGTGAACAAGGTTTTAGCTATTTTGTGTCAATGATTTTTAAAGAATTTTCCTATATATATCTTTAAATACTTTGTTCAACCATTTTGGCCCCCCCTCCCCTGGGGGTCATTTTATATTTAAACTTTTCAATACTTGAGCTGATTTTTGCTTCCATATAAATATAATGAATTATGGCTTTGTCTTCTTGTTGAAGATGTTTAAAGAATTTTCCCTATATATACAAAATTAAAATATAAGATAAGCAAGTAAAAGTTTAGAATCAAAGTTATGATTTCTAAACCTAAGATATAGCTTTCTTTAATGCATGTTACATAATTTAAATATATAAAATATGGCTTTGTCATTCTCTAATTCCAAAGTTATTACCAATTTTTTTTAAATACACATGTAAGGTCAAACTTTAATGTCAAGTTCATAGGATAAAAAAATCGTAGAACACTTGGAAAAGACTTCACTATAGTATTCCACATGTTAAAAAAGAATACCCTATAATATATCACTCAAAAGTTTTTAAAGAATTTTGCATATATATTTCAAAAATTTGTTCAAATTTAAGGTCAAAGGAATCAAAAATGAAAGGAGAGTCATTTTTTTTCATGAAAAAAAGAAATACATATATGACCAAATTTAAAGTCCCCTTGCTTTCACTGAACTGTGGTTCAATAAAAAGCCATTTAAAAATATGCCACCAAATTTTCATTAATTCCCAATTATCTCCCCTTGAATACAGGGCGTGGCCCTTATTTGACCTGAGCATTATTCAACAACTTTCCAGTGATTGAATTTGTTTTAAGCCAGATGCTATAGCATTTACAATTTGGTAATCATAACTATAAGAAGTTCCTTAATGTGAAAAGTTTACAGACCCACAGACGGCAGGGACGCCGGACAAAAAATGCATTTCAACAAATCAGTAATATTCAGCAATAATCAGTAGTGCCGCTACCACACAGGAATCCTTGACTCTGATCTATATATCACACATTGCTTTACAATTTGCGTTGGAAAGCCACTGAGTGCTTTTCAAAAAAATTTGAAGATAAAGCCGCTTTACATTTCAAACAATTCATTCATTTTCACATATAAGGGACAACGCCCCCCCCCCCCAACTCCCTGAATGTGAACAAAAATTTGTATTTATAGAAAAGATTTATAATTGACAATTCTGAGTAACATATGACATGGGTTACAGTGTATTTGATTTACAACCTAGAGTTAAAGATAATGATTTTAAAAGATTTAATGTTTTTTCACTATACATGTTAATTAAATCACTCCCCCCCCCCCCCCGCTTATCAAGTTAATTAAACATTTCAAAATAGATAAATCTGACAGATTGAAGCAATTATGACAACTAATTAAATTAAGAACAGAGGTGTTGAATTTTGAACTGAAAAATATTCGAAGTAATTGTCAAAATGTTCGATGGTACATTTTCATATGTGACAATCAACATAAAAGCATCAAACAAAAAAGGTAATATAAATTTAAACTTGTTCTCGTCGTTACTATTGTGACAATAGAGGAGCCATTAGAGTGGATCATAACAAAGGAATATAAAGGCTTTATCTTGATTCCAATAAAGAAATTTACATTTTAAAACATTTCAAAATTTTGTGTCATATTAATTCAGAAGCTTCCTTCAGGAAGTGTAGAAATTCACAATTTTTGTTCACCCCCCACCCCCCCTTAGATGCTTTGTGCCAAATTTTATATTTAAACTTTTCAATACTGCACTGATTTTTGCTTTACCTAGACAGCTGCTCAGATGAGCGATGTGGCCCCTGGGCCTCTTGTTGCTCATGTGTCGTATTTGTCTGCCCTTTAGATACAAAATTAAAATATAAAATAAGTACAGGTAAGTAAAATTTTAGAATCAAAGTTATGATTTCTAAAAAGATATAACTTTCTTTAATGCGTTGTTACAGGTAATTTACGAGTATATATAAAATATGAAAGCCTAGGAGTTCTGTATGTATAACGTCAATTTATCACGTAGTTCTTACGCATACTACACGGAATTGTATAGGCTTATACTCAACCAATGAAATGAAATATTCCTTATTCAATATCAAACCTAATGTCCAGTTAACAACCCACAGTTGTCCAGTATTGACGAAATTAAACAATGAAAATGTCGGTAATATTTCTTTTTGTTTTCAGTGTAAAAAATGTTTTTTCACCTAAGAATAACAGTGATACTGATGTCTTATTGTGTGATAATTTTAAAACGATCAAAGGAATCAAAAATGATGCAGAAGAATTTGAGGCGGGCCGACAATCAGTCGTTTACATGTCTACCTACAACTGTGACCTTTCACCTTCCGTCTGCCCTCCCGGTAACCTCAAAACGCGTCACCCAACTTCCTGTTCGTATACTAATCGACGGGATGCTCAGATCAGGACAATGGAGGAAAATGAGGATTCAGAAGTGTTGTGCCTGCAGGTACAGAAGTCATAATAAAGTAAACAAAAGGTCCATCGACCACATTGCTCACCTGAACACTTTAGTTAGAGATAAGCAGGAATCAGTACTTGAAAGTTTAATATAACAAGACTATGAAGAATAAATATAGCCCCAGCCTAACTCTGAATGATGACTGGCACAAAACTATGAGTTATGCATGATGACTTCTATGTTCTTGAGAAGAATATTTTCAACCAATGAAAGAAATATTCCTTATGTTATTATATAAAGTATGATTACCAAAAGTGGTCCCACCCTAACACAAGTCATGATTTGAAGAAATCGAATCATAACCCAAAGAATTAATTACATTACATTAATTACATTAATATTACCAAAAAATTATTATAATGAAATGACATTAATAAAGTAACGAAGAAAAATAACGAATAAGAAAAATTTACTGAGGGATAAAGTACGGAAGCCCTGGAGGGACATTGACTTACTTGTTATGACTTATTTGTTATAACTTTTTTGTTTTGACTTATTTGTTTTGAGACTTTTTTTGTTACTTCTAACTAAGTGTAGGTAAGCTATTGAGAACGATTAATTGTAGTTTTGTAGTTAAACTTACAAAACTGATGTGATTACTAAAATATTTTCATCTGTTAATTACGGACTCCCTTGAGAGATATTGACTTATTCCTTATGTGTTTTGCCTTATTTCTTATGTGTTTTGACTTATTTCTTATATGTTTTGACAAAAGTTCTGATGAATTAACTTTGAACACTTTATTTTGAATTTGTTATGACAAGTTTATTTACAAAAAGTGGTGTGAAAGATGAAGACAACGTATAGTTTCAGAAAATAGTCCTTGAATTTATTACTAACGACAAAATGAAATACATAGTAGTGATTGTCAGTTTGTCAATCATCATGCAAACTGAAAGTTACATATAAGATTTACGTAATAACTTTTATATGAGAATTAAGTTATAACAACAAAAAGAATATTTACTTTAGAAATCACAACTGTACTGGACGTTAAACTACAATTTGTTAATCAAAAACCACAGTTAAAATAGGACTAAATACCATTTTTATCAGAAAAGTAAGCCAAACAACAGGTTTTCAATAGCTTTCCTACATTTAGTTATAACTTGCTACGAAACAATCACAACAAATAAGTCAAAACAAAAAAGTAATCCTAATAAAGTGTTAAAAGTCATTGAAGAATTTATCTAGTTGATTCAGATACCCTCTCGATCTCTCCCTCATGTTTTAAGCTCACCTTGGTGTCGTCGTGTAGTCGTTAACTTTGTAAAACCTTCTCCAAAACTACGGGACCAATTTTAACCAAACTTCTCACAGATCCTTGGGTGAAGGAATTCAAGTTTGTTCAAATGAAGGGCCAAAACCTCCTCCAAGGGAGATAAGTATGATAAAGCGAAAATTAAATAGAATCATTGAAAATTTTTCTTCTGACAAACCAGTGGGCCAGAAAAGATGAAACTCATGTGGAATCATTGTCAGCTAGTGTAGTTTTAAGTTTGTTCAAATCATGACCCCCAGGGGTAGGGTGGGACCACAATGGACGATCAAAGAATAACATAAGAATATATATGAAAACTATATTTAAAAAATCTTCTTCTCAAGAACAGCAAAGCTAAGATTTGTCAAATTGATGTGAGAGCATTTTCAGGTGGTGTAAATGGAATTTTGCTCAAATTATGACCCCCCTCCATCTTTCTTTCAGGTGTACGTCGGGACCACATTTAAGATTTTTAATACTAAACTGGTTTTTTTTTCCTAGCCATTGTGCTCATGTGAGCGATGTGACCCCTGTGCCTCTTGTTTAAAAGAGTATAAAAAATACAATGAATCATTACAAAAAATATATATTACCCATTATGGCTTTGCTCTTCTTGAGAAAATGATTCAATATGAAGTATGTGGCCCCAACCTATCCCGGGGGTTGTAATTTTGACATATTGTAAATTTTGAATTTACCGGGTGCCAGTAAAAACAATTCAAAATTTACAACATGACAATTTGAACAAACTTCAATCTATACCATGTAATAAAGCTTTGGAGAAAATTTCAATTTCTCGAGAGAAAATCTTTTTAAAAGATGCCATAAAGTTTTCACTTTTTAAAAAAAAATATCTCCCCTTGAAAGAGTACGTGGCCCTTCATATGAACAAATGATCCCCTTCACCCAATAATGTTTTTAAAAATTGGTTTAGTGAATTTGAGGAGGAAGATGAAAATGTGAAAAGTTAATGACATCAACTTAAGCCTTTTCTCAGATGAGCTAAAAGGTTATAGTATGAACTGTGGATTTTTGTCAGGTAACATTAAATTCAATTTGTCCAATGAATTTGACTGAAAGCTAACTAGCATTGAAGACTATAAAGACCAATCAATTGTACATCTTCAAAATTGTCTAGTTTAATACGTCATATGAATTAGTTTGAAGAAAAAAAAATATACTCATATCATAGCAAGATGGTGAAATTATTACAAAGGTTAACATGACTTAATCCTTGCAAATGCGTGATATATTTCACACCCTTAAAACAATTGCATTATTAAACTTTTTTACAGTTAATTGTTTAATGATTCCTTTAGGGCGTATGGTATGCAAGGGATCTAGAAGCCATTGTAAGGAAGACTGCATTCAACTTTCAATATTCCTACAGCTTTTTGCACGATAGCACTGGACATTTCAATGCCTCCCAGAAACTCCATCCACCCTGTGATGAACAAGATGCCATTATATTAAAATCAATCAACGAGTGTGAGTTTAAAGAATGCCACTACTCATCTGAAAGAACCAAAATTTTCAAATGCATCGAAGATATCTGCAAAATAAAAAATATCTTGCAAGTAATGTCGGAGACGTGTCTTGGTTGTATATTCCAAGGCACTGAGGAGGATAACTTCGAAGAGTGTACAAAATCAACCTACGCCTTCAACCCAACAGGGTTACTTCTCCTCAGTAAATACAGTCTGCTCAATCACCAACGCGGCCTATACCATCCAATCAAAACCTTTGATAAGGCAGGAAGGGAAAAGTCCTCAGAGATCGTGCAGCGTGGTTACCTTGATGTAGAGGTAGAACGAAGCATTTTTATTACCTAAGTAGAATGGAGCATTTTAATATATTATATAACTTTGTGAAATCCGGTAACACTCAAAACGTACTTATTTTTTAATAACGACCGCTGAAAGCGAATAATGACCTGTTGATTTTTCTGTTTCATATAGTAAAGAACGTTAATACAAAACAATTTTATTTGTGAATATTTTTCGGGAATAATTAGCACATACCATTCCATGGTTGAGTTCGATCTTTCCGCTCGACGAGCAGAGTTTTGACGCTGTTAATAGCTGTTTATGCGATTACGGCAAAAATATTAAGATTGCTTGTGTATTTATATTTTGTCAATTTTGTCTGCAAGTGTAAACGCGTTGTTGCTATTCAAATTGATCAATTATGATATGGGAAATTTATTGAAAATTTCCTCTGATTAATATTCAATGAATTCTGAAACATTTACATTCAACTTATTTATGGTTAATACTATCTCTGAAAATAATAGGATGATATACCTTGCACAAATAAATTTGGGAAATAATTATTTATATAATATAATAAATAAGAACAAACGAATTTAGTATTGATCATAACATTCTCTCTTCTACTAAAAATATTAAAATGAATTTCTAAAGAAACTAAGGTTTAAATGGTATTTCAGTAGGTTTTATATTGAGAAATAGCAATACAGATTAAATATTACACTAAAGTTTATATATATATATATATGAAAATATCTGACATTGAATCTCAAAGCTGATTATGGTACAAAAGTCAATTATTGATTAAAAAAGTATAAAATGGTAAATTATTTTCGGGTAAGAAAGATTTAAACTAAAGATTCGAAGTGCTCTTATTTGGTTATTATGATTCTCATTTTAGATTGAAACTGTAGTCATTCATGCGAAAAAGATAAACCCTAGATTGGTCGGATTTTGGCTGACATGTCCATACCCTTTCTTAAGCCTTCGGTTTTAATTCTGTGAATTTCTTCTAGTGTAACTTTCCTTTTGCATTTGAAATATTCTAGGCGTTGACGTAATTTCGTCTATCTAATCGATACATAGGGCTCACGGTGGGTGTGAATGGTCAAATGGGGATGCTAACTCCTCCTAGGCACCTGAACCACCAATAGAATTTCCAGGGCTCTGTATTTATGCCCTGTTTGTAAATTTGCATTTTTTATAGATTTTTTTTTAGATTGATAACTATTTGTTATTGCAGGTTCTTTTTTGTACTGTTTTTTCCCTAATTTTTTTACTATCTTTTTTACTCATATGAAGCAGAATTAGTGCAAAATCTTATGCATGAAAAGAAGAAAACACTTGCTGTGGCTTTCAACCCGACATTTACATATATGGACGACGTATTGTCAATTAACAATGATAATTTCCATTCTTATGTCCATATGATATATTCTGGTGAGCTTGAGATAAAAGACACCACAGAGTCTGACACATCTGTTTCGTATTTGGATATTTTACTTGAAAAGCTCTATGATAAATGTGATGACTTTAACTTTTCAATTGTCAACTTCCATTACTTATGCAGCAATATACCTTCATCACCTGCATACGGGGTTTATATCTCTCAGTTATTCGATGCGCAAGAGCATGCTCTACGTATGAACATTTTTTTAAATTAGGTAAATTATTGACAAACAAAGTAATGAAACAGTAATTTCAGCAGTCTCGTTTAAAGTCACCATTTCGTAAGTTCTGTGGTCGATACAATGACCTTGTCAGCAAATACAATTTATCATTGCTGACTGACGTTTTTCATTTATACACTGAATTTTCGACGGATTTTTCCGTTATTTCCCGATCAAGAAAAGGGGCACACGGCGGTTGTGACCGGTCGGCAGGGGATGCTCACTCCTCCATTGCACCTGATCCCACCTCCGATGTTTTGGAGGTTCGTGTTTGCTCTGCTTCTATTTTGTATTGTTTTATAAACTTCTGATCTTGAATACTGTTCGTTATATCCATATGTTTCACTACACTTACTTTATGATAATATTATTCAATAGACTTGAAACCTCTAGGGATTTTTGCTCAATTAAATCACATACTAATAAGATAAAAGAGTGTCTCAAAACAAGATATCAGAAACTGCTAGCAAGTCAAAATCATTATCAATACATTTATTTTCAAAGTTAACCTTGAACTTCTTAAAGAAAATATGCAAGGTTTTTATGAGCTTTAACAGCAAATCAAATGGAAGCAAAATCGAGTAACATCTTCTCCGATCAAATATCTTTTACAGGTTCATCATATTGGGCGGGTCGTCTGCACACACTTAACGGAGAAATTTGGTGACGAATATGTTGAAGGTTTGTAGAATATCGTATTAAATTCTAATGATAAATCGCGCAGTCTGATGAAAATCAAACTGTAAATCATGAAATATTGTTTGTTTTCTAAGTCATCCACGACTGAATTAAAAAAAAAACAAAAGATAAAACAAAACCATCAATCAAGCATTGCAAAAGTACTAATTTATTCTTATTTTATAAATAAAGTTGGAAACACATTCAAAAGTTATGAAAAGAAGAACTTCTTTGAGTTTGAAGCCTTATATACGAGACTACAGAACGTACCTAAAGTTATCATACTGGGCGATCTAAACGCCAGTCCCGCCATAACCAAGGGGAGTATCGCATCACAATTTTCTGGGAACTTGGAAGTCTTACGAGACTTCGGATACAAAGATCCAGTATCCGATTCTTTCAAGCACAGGGAAGCTGATTGCTCTTACTGCTGCGGAAACGCCTTGGTCCGGAAACCCGACATAGGTGTCTGTTCCAAGACCAGTTCAGCGGTTGGATACATATTTGATCACGTGATGGTCAAGGGTTTCGATGTTTTCGATACCCAAGAAGATTATCTAAAAAACAACGCAGTATGTATTTTTATTCAATATTGTAAACAGTTCATTACTTTTTTTTAAAATTAAATGCAATAGTTACAAATGTATCAAACTTTACCTATATACATTAATGCAGGGAACAAATTAAGACTAATTGATTTTGTTGTTGTACACATAGTCGGCGGTATTTCAGCCCTATTAATAATATTATGGCGGGGACTGATTAAAAAATTTACAGTTAAATGTATTTTTTAACCTGTACATAAACCATGTATTAACTATTTACAAAGAACTTATTTGGAACCATCCTCTCTCGAAACTGAGTACTTTTTTTTTCTTAACAGGCCTTTCGCATTTTCCTGACGGACGATGCATTCTCCGCCATGTCTCGACATTATGGATTTACTGTGCCAGTAATTGTAAAGTAAAGCATCTACAATATTTTATGAGTCAACTTAAGACTTTTCCTTAAACATTGTGTTGGGACCTGAAAATGTAACAAAATGTATGTTCATCAATAAATTTTACAAAGCATGATTTTTTTTATTCTAAAGAATAGGATACATATATGAAGCAGTTTTAATTATTGTTAATCAGTTGGTTTATTAAGTTGGCAGAGTTTCAACTTTGAATAAAATTTTGGAAAATACATAATTATTTTCATGACAACTTGAAACCAATCCCTCTAAACCTTACAAATGTACAAGAAAATACAGAAACCAGTCCCTATTACAAATGTAGAAATGAAGTAACAATTTTTCACTCTCATATTTATAGACCCGCATCTTCGGCCGTAACTTAAATTTGGTCGTCATAAAACAAATTAAGTTTCTATTGTACAGCAACTCTCAGACAATTGTAATCAATGAAAGTCGACAACAGAAGGCACATCATTTTCCAACTCGTGCCATTCGTTACCAATATATCAATACACGTACGGGCTTCTAGTACTAGTATCTTTTGTTTACGCGATGGTTTCTCAGCGTTTCTCACAACAAAAATTACACTAACACGATTAACACTTAGGTGACGGGGGGAGAAGCGACACTCTTCTTTAGCTCATCTTCAACGCCTTCCGTCGAAACTCTTCCAGCTCGTCCCAACTGTGATTGCTAAACAGTTTATAAATTCATTAGACGAAGAATCTTTAACCACCGAGGAACGACTAGCATAATGAAAGTATAATTAATGGCACGGCTAAGGTGCAAAAATTTAATAAACTTCTAGGACTAATTGGATTACAAACGGTTGATATTTCGGTGGGAACACCTCGGGGATCAATAATGGGGAAAAACAGTCCTCCAAATATACTTCTACAACAGATTTTTCAGTTATTCATCCATCAGCGCTGGGAATTAGTCTTGACATTTTAGCTACTGAAAATGTTTTCAAAGCATCTTGGAAATTTTATTCAGTTTTTGGAATTGATCTTGAGAAAAAGCGTGGTATTACAATTTCTCGCATGCTTGGTAAAAATAAGAGTCATATTTGATGTATAAATTTTCTGTGATTTTTATCCCCTGTAATCAAAGATTCAGGGGGCAAATACTAGTAATTGCTTTGTCCACAAAACATAACTTTTGATTGACTGGCACTGTGCCTTTTGCAAATTTTTAGTGAACTTTAAGGTTTTGCCAAAGGTTAAGATATAAAAAAAAATTATTTTTACAATAGCTTCAAAACTATGTGAGGTATTTACTTTTACAGTTTGTAAATATACCATTGATTAACACATGTAAAGTATAATTTGAAAACAAATATTAAAAAATATATATATAAAAATTTGCATATTTAAAAAAATGCACCTTCTTAATTCAATACTTTTAGTGAGAGCCATCAATGCAGAAATAATATATGTTAATCAATGATGGGCAAGTTGGACGTGAATTGTCTCTGAAAGGCGATTATTGAAAGCATGACATGCATAAAGACAAGACCCCTTTAAAATCCGCCATTTGCAATGTATTTTCGCTTTCAAATCTTAACATTTGGACAAAATAAACATGGAAAACAACTTTCCAGAGGCTATCGCAGTCCAAATTGCCCTTCATTGAAAAACATATATTGTTTCTGCAATGATGGCTTTCACTAAATTACGTATATTATTAAATTTGAACATACTAGTATCTATTGTAATTTATAAACACAAAATGATTGATCACCTGTTCCGACAACTTCTACCCAAATTATGACAATGCAATGCTCAAGTGATGAAACAATTTAGCATCACATATTGAATCCAAACATCTATAAAGAACTTGTACCAAGTTGTGGTGATTTCAAAGTAAAATTTAAAGATAGATGATGCATTAGCTATAATACATTACATTATTATTATAATTACGTTACATATAAATTTTCAGGAAACTGAAATACCCGTGGTAACTGACGCAAAACTTTTGGTATCTGTGTGTCCATTCAGTATCAATATAATGAATATATATGATAATAAGTGAACATTGATAAAATAAAGAAAACAAATAACTCAAGATACCGTAGACAAACGGCCCTAGGCAAGGGACTAATACTAACGGAGAATTGACAGTGGAATATGAAAAGACATAAAGTACACCAGGTTAATATACAGAAAACACTGATTAAATATGTACTTTCTTAACCAAGCCATAGAAAGTTCCATCTCTCACCCCGCCATATGTGTACATTTCTAAACCACTGAAGATTGCAGTAACATATTAAAATTATAAGCATTATTATATTATTTTCATTAATTACCCTAATTCACACATGTCTGAAACCATTCAGGAATTCATGTTCATGTTAGGTGGACATAAAATGAGGTAGAAAGAAAAATAGAGAAAAACTAAACCCGCTGAACCCTATAAATTAATAGCGAAGATCTGAAGATCGGCAGTGTAATATTCGTTTTTATGTGTTGAGAAGAAACAAATAATATGCACAAAGCAATATTCATTTGTTACTTAATCGTTTTATAAAGAAAGCTAGCCCACACATAAAGAATAGACCCAAATGTTTGGAAGTAGCAGACCACACAATGGCGCAATGGGTCTGCATTTAGGGATAATGTCAAAATACGAAGTCATTCAAATAAAGCAGTAAAATTTCAAATTCCTCTCTGATGAAAAAAGGCAGAAATTAAACAAAAACAAAGCTGAAACGGGAAAAATATCTGAGAAGGGAAAGAAGTCATATGTTAGGTATCATATAGTCTTTGGTAAAATAAAAATTTATTGAAACATTCAAGTGAAACACTTTTATATCTCACTTACAGAGGTTTTACTAGTATATCCCTTTTATTAAAAATCTTAAAATTTATTTTCAATATTGAAATCTTAATCATATTTTTTTCTCATTTCTAGTAATAAACAAAAAAAAAAAAAAAAAAAATACGTCCAAGCAGTATGCATTTCTCTGATGCCTGTTTGTACAATTGATCTGCAAAACGAGAAAGTTCCTGTCTTACAACTGTTAAAGGAGAAATACAATGTATTTGGATATATGGGAATACCCTTTTGGGAGCCACCCGCCCGTCATTTTCAATAACCGAAATTTTCCTTCGGAAAACCCGGTTAAAACTCGTGAGTCATGATAACTGCGATTTTTTTAATTGCTCAAAGCAATTGATTCGCTGGAAATACCACTGTAAATAAAAAAAATTGTAGCAAGGTTAATTCTATAAACACTTTGATAATTAGATACCGATAATAAATTGTTTATTTCTCTACAGCAAATCTCATATACTATCATTTCTTATGTATATATTTGTTTATTATGAGTACATATGTATAGATTTTTTAATTATGAGTACGTGCAGATAGATTTGTAAATTATGAGTACGTGTGGGTAAAGAAATAAATATTAAATGTGTTTCCCAAGAAATATTATAATTATTATTACTTTATTTATTTATTATTATTATTTTTTTTTTTACAATTTAGCATATGGCTATAATCTCTCAGGTTAACACATACGGAATTTTTTAATTTCTAAAAGTAGCGAAATAAAACCTTGGAAACTCACTGTTCGTTTTTATTTTGCATTTTGCATTTCAAAAAGTCAGTTAACGTTGAAGTTTGCAATTCCAACTATAAATGTAGATTTTTCAACTTTAGTTGGTAATTTCAACTTCAACCTTGCAGTGGCTTTTCCAGCTTTAAATCAAAGTACTCAGAAGTACAGAGAGCCGGGCTCATTTACAGAGTAGAACGAATTTCTTATATGAATCATACATTCATATTCTGATGAAAAAAATTATTTTAAAACTATCAATATAAATGATAAGACACTGACAGTGAGTTTTTCAATCCTAATACCATGGTCCGATTTTGTCAGAATCAGGATTAATCTGGTACCGCAGCTGAATATAAACAAACAGGCCAGTCTGGTTCCCTCTCCTGCTTTACCTTATGTGTAGAGAACTACGATAACACTGATTATCAAAAATCCTTAAGCTGATGAACTATGTTCTTTGACTTAGAACTGAAGTTTTCAAAGTCATTACTACTTATGTTTTATAAAAATAAAATTTCGTTTTATTTTTGTTGCTTTATTTAGCGTTTGTATTATCTCAAAAGCGGTTGAGAGTAAGAACTATATTTTTGCACGTAACTTTAAAATGGCGACTATGGGGTTGACTTCCTGCCTTGAACAGGATGACATAAGCCGGCAATTACTCTTTGAGCAATAAGCCCAGCTAAAAATGGTTACCGGTATTCCAAGTTGGTTATTTGGAAAAGTCAAGTTTAAGGTGTAATTGCTTTCTCTAAAGTTTGAATTACAAACTTTGTTTAATGCTTCGAACTGCTAAGTTTACACATGTAGATGAAAAAGTCAAGAGAGAAGTTGGAAAGCCCTGATGAAAGTTGGAAAAGCCAAGAAAAAAGGTTAAAAAGCTAAGATTAAAGTTGGAAAATCCAAAAAAAAAAGTTGGAAAAGTCATGATAAAAGTTAGAAAGCCAAGATTAAAATTAGATTTTGCATTTTAATGTTGGAATTACCAACTTTTTAAGTTGAATTTTCTATTTAAAAATTTACGTATTACCACATCTAATACGGTTTTGTACGTCAAGGAAACTTTTCCTTTGTCACAATTTTAAAGTGTCTTTTTCTTAATAGACTAATAGATTACTTTGTCCCATGATTTGTTTGGATAAAAACATTGGAGGGAAAACGTTTAAGATGTGATTTTTGATGCAAAAAGGTAATATTAAATGTACTGTAACGCTAAAAGAAGCATATTGACCCCCATTTATTGTTTTGATTTTTAGTTAAGCTATGTGTGTAGAAACTAAAAATTTACTTGACAAAAACAGTTTAAGACTTTAAATATCAGGATCGAACCTCTTTAAGAAACAGATCTTTTTTCAACATTTCTATATTTTCAACAAATTAATAATAAAGAATATATCATTTTCAACACGGACTCCAAGGAACTTGACCAATACATGAAGACGATACCCGTCCTAATCAGAAACCTTTCTTTGAGAGGCGCCCTCGGAAAAAAACCCACACGTAGTCGTCATTGTTCATTCGACAAGAAGCTCTCAATGGTAGGGGCG